AAACAAGCTTCCTTTAGCCAAGTTTCAGACAAAATTTCCGCATACAACAAAATTGTTAAAAGTCAAGGAAATCTTTTTGGTCATATTTCAAAACAGAACCTTACATGTAATATATTTGTTAAAACTCAAAGAAGTTCTCGTTGGCCAAGTCTCAGGATAGAGTTCCCTCACACAGAAAAGTTGTTAAAACTTAAAGAAGTGTTCTCTACCTAAGTTTCAGGAAGATACAAAGAAGTGGTTAGAACAAACGTTTTTTTTGGCCATGTTTTAGGACAACATTTCCACATACAAAGAAATTAAAACTTAAATAAGTCCCCCATTGGCCATGTCTCAGAACAGAGTTTCCTCATACAAACAAAAGTTGTTAACACTCAAACAAGCTTCCTTTAGCCAAGTTTCAGACAAAATTTCCGCTTACAACAAAATTGTTAAAAGTCAAGGAAATCTTTTGGTCATATTTCAAAACAGAACCTTACATGTAGTATATTTGTTAAAACTCTAAGAAGTTCTCGTTGGCCAAGTCTCAGGATAGAGTTCCCTCACACAGAAAAGTTGTTAAAACTTGAACAAGTGTTCTCTAGCTAAGTTTCAGGAAGATACAAAGAAGTGGTTAAAACAAACGTTTTTTTTTGGCCATGTTTTAGGACAACATTTCCACATACAAAGAAGTTAAAACTTAAATAAGTCCCCCATTGGCCAAGTCTCAGGACAGAGTTTCCTCATACAAACAAAAGTTGTTAACACTCAAACAAGCTTCCTTTAGCCAAGTTTCAGACAAAATTTCCGCATACAACAAAATTGTTAAAAGTCAAGGAAATCTTTTTGGCCATATTTCAAAACAGAATCTTACATGCAATATATTTGCTAAAACCCAAGTTCTCGTTGGTCAAGTCTCAAAATAGAGTTTCCTCATACAGAAAAGCTGTTAAAACTTAAACAAGTATTCTCTAGCTAAGTTTCAGGAAGATACAAAGAAGTGGTTAAAACAAACGTTTTTTTTTGCCATGTTTTAGGACAACATTTCCACATACAAAGAAGTTAAAACTTATATAAGTCCCCCATTGGCCAAGTCTAGAACAGAGTGTCCTCATACAAACAAAAGTTGTTAACACTCAAACAAGCTTCCTTTAGCCAAGTTTCAGACAAAATTTCCGCATACAACAAAATTGTTAAAAGTCAAGGAAATCTTTTTGGTCATATTTCAAAACAGAACCTTACATGTAGTATATTTGTTAAAACTCTAAGAAGTTCTCGTTGGCTAAGTCTCAGGATAGAATTCCCTCACACAGAAAAGTTGTTAAAACTTGAACAAGTGTTCTCTAGCTAAGTTTCAGGAAGATACAAAGAAGTGGTTAAAACAAACGTTTTTTTTTGGCCATGTTTTAGGACAACATTTCCACATACAAAGAAGTTAAAACTTAAATAAGTCCCCCATTGGCCAAGTCTCAGGACAGAGTTTCCTCGTACAAATAAAAGTTGTTAACACTCAAACAAGCTTCCTTTAGCCAAATTTCAGACAAAATTTCCGCTTACAACAAAATTGTTAAAAGTCAAGGAAATCTTTTTGGTCATATTTCGAAACAGAACCTTACATGTAGTATATTTGTTAAAACTCTAAGAAGTTCTCGTTGGCCAAGTCTCAGGATAGAGTTCCCTCACACAGAAAAGTTGTTAAAACTTGAACAAGTGTTCTCTAGCTAAGTTTCAGGAAGATACAAAGAAGTGGTTAAAACAAACGTTTTTTTTGGCCATGTTTTAGGACAACATTTCCACATACAAAGAAGTTAAAACTTAAATAAGTCCCCCATTGGCCAAGTCTCAGGACAGAGTTTCCTCATACAAACAAAAGTTGTTAACACTCAAACAAGCTTCCTTTAGCCGGGTTAGGGTTAGGGTTAGGGTTAGGATTAGGATTAGGGTTAGGTTAGGTTTTATGACCATCCGATTTCAGTGCAGTCCCTCATTATATAAGTGTGTAAAAATGTCAAATTGGTGACTCTCTCATTTCGTAATTCCGATCGCTTGTTATCTGAGTATGGCACTGGGACTTGATTGGCTATTTAAACAAAAAATAAGGTGGCGCTCATCATTGTCCTACTACAAATTCACGATACGAATCAGCTGAAAGGAACCAGAAGCAATAGAAGCTAACGGACTACGCCATGTGGTTTCTAATCAATTTGTATTGTCGCTGAGTTATATAAGTACATTTAATTACTTCACGACTAAACGCTGCCTTTGTAAAAATTTAGCTTCATACTAATTTGCGTATCTGTAGGAGGGACTTGGCACTGGCTTAACCTCTACTTCAAAATCAAAAGTAGTAAATCAATATGCTCAACTTTTAGACCCTCGCGAATATCTGCAGTAATATGAGTTGACTAAAATTAATTGTCCTTCGGACCTATTCGAGAGCGAATCTAGGGCTATCGCCCCATTCATAGAGCTTTGGAGTTTACTCACGCAAGTTATTTAGATCTTTCCATTACGATGGCTGAGCTAAGGCTCGTACTGTTATTTAATTGTATGCTCCTTTGTACTTTTTTTTATATCTTAAGCAGCCTTTCGCATCGATGTTTCGTACATGGCGCTGAGGCATCCTTAATTTGCGTACGAATAAATTGTTTGCGATCTCCCCCTTCCTCAAAGCCCCTGTACAACAAGCGTGTCTGCTTCTCATGGCGCCTGTAGTCCACAGTTATTGCCGCTTAATACTCGAAATTTGTTGATTAAGATGAATGCTTAGGATGAAGCTAGAAGCTGGGGCTGAAAATGAACTCTACGTTACAAAAAACCTTATACGTTAATAAAAGCATTGTTGTTCCACTCGTATACAATGCAAGTTAAACCTTTTTGACTATAGCTTTAGATGTTTAACTTGATACGATTTTAGCAACTTAGTAATTCTTTCATATTATGCTTGATATGATTGCAGTTTTATACATAGTCATAATAGAGAACTCCGCTCTTTAACTATAAGTTGAAGTTTTGTAACGGGTTTGCTGATTTACGGGAAATTGTAAACGCCTACGGCGTAGACAGTTTAGTGGCCGACGTGGCCATAAGTGATAAAAATGGCTGATATTCTAATTTTTGATTTTCCAAGATTCTCAATTGTAAAATTCTAAGATTAATAAATTCGTGTTTGAGCTATAATGAGTGTCAGATCATCTTTCTATAGTGTCAGATTAGTGCTCTGTTTATCCAGAGCATGCTAACTGAACTGCTAGCTAACTCGTCTTTACTAGCCATAGAAATGCCCCACTATGCACAATTATAGATACTTAATGACAATAAATATCTAGCATTCTATGAACGGTTTGCTGTAGTATATCGATTTTTCAAGATATGTTGTGCGTACGCTATGCTGAAGTGGTGAAAGGTCAAAGTTTTCTACTCCACCACCATCTACCATGACATACATGCAGACAAAACCAGCTGTCCTTTCCTAAAAATACAGTGGGTCAATAGCTTGCATTGCTTTCTTCTAATTTTCTATTGATTATATAATTATCGCAGAACATGGCTTTTTGAAAGTATTGTATTGTTCTATTTTTAATTAACTGAAAACTCAATTCAGTTATCAACTGTTGCCCAGTCATGTTTCCTATTTATGATGTCTGGAAAGCTTTACCAGATATGTTCATGTTCACATAGAGTTATATTACAATATAAAACGACGTTGAAACTGAACAATGTAAGGATGATTTTAACTTAAATTGATATTTGTACCAAGAACGCAGACCTGAATTACTGTGATATGTACTTTAAACATACGTCACTCAGTAATTTCCTTGCTCTAGACAGTATGGCGACCGAGTTCCGGAATATCCCGCCTTCTTTGTATCCTTCAGTTGAGGTCGCAGTCTGTCATTAATGTCTTCGTGCAACAAAAAGAAATACGATTTAGCCTTTGTCCCGCGTGTGTAGTAAATACAGCATATTCAAAGTACGCTGCGGATATTCTGAACGTCTCGAGAAAAATAACAATACGGTTCCACTCGTCAAACATATACAATAGACTTCCGGATACATCGAGTCCAGAAACTCTCAAAACGGTACCGGCATTTAGTGCGTTCGATTCGGTCGAATCCACCAAAGCCGCTGGTGACGAAAAGTTCATTCGTTTGAGCTCCTCCCCAATAACACGACGTAACGTTTGAGGCCGGTATGCGGACGTCCATACGAAGAGCCTTGGTGTTCGGGTCGACACGGAACACTCAACTTGTGGTCAAGTCAAGCGTTGATTACGAAGCTTTGGTTAACTCCGTTAAGACCACGTGTGTCTTCACGAGAACATTATCGTTTATTTCGAAAGGACATTTTCAGTTAGACTATTTGTTCCATGCATTTAATTGGAAGCAAGAAAGAAACTAAATGCTTATCTCAGTAGTTTATATATTACAATGGGACGCCTACTCGTTACTAGAAGTAACGTTTCAATTGAAAATGTACATTACGTCTGTAATCAACGTAACTAAGAACGCAAATCGGCTGGTACCTTCGTCGTAGCAGACGATCCACACTTTACCCTCCGCGTCGTTTGTCATGCCACCCGGGAAACCGAAACCTCTGTAAGCTTTGTCCACGTTGACTTGATCCAGAAGAACGCTGGGCTCGCCAGTACCTCCCGATGCCGCGTCAAAGTCGGGCAGGTAAATCCTCCAGACATGCGAATTGATACAGAACATTCTCCCACTGGCCCTCGTCGTTCCGTTGGGGATACTTAGACCAGTCATATACGATTTTAGCGTCAGGTCTGTTCAGCATTAACCAGTCAGACCGGTCGACACATATTAATTAAGGTGGCACGTCGTTCCCTACAAATAGCCATTACAGCCGTACGGGCACTGACTATGTACCAGTAAGTACAAATATTCCCAATTAATATCAACGTAATGTATAATCGGCATGTTGAATAGATGTATTTCCAATAGCAAGACTTCCATGTGCCTTGAATTTAAGTGTTGAGTTACGTTTTGTTTTCAGATAATGGGTTCTGCCTTACAATGCACAGAGGAGTTCAACTATTAGGATGGATATTACCCGGCGCATGTAGAACCGACTTGTTATAAGGCGTACATAGTGGAATGGTCGAATACAACTTGCGAAGCCTGTAATTATCTTGCTTACTGAACGAGCACAGAGAGCCTTTTCCTGCAACCCAGGTCTATGGGTGCCACCCCAAAATCTCCCCATTTTGTCACATTTGCCATCATTGAAATGGCTTGTCGGTGTCTGCCTAAAGCAAAAAGAAATTTATGATGTTTCGCGAGCGAACACGCCAATAATACTAATTAACAAAAATAATACGAGTTAGTTTTATTTACAAATTCACAGGAATAAAACTTCACAGATAAAATGAACAAAACGCGATTTTGATTAAGGCTGACTATTAGTAAACTTCCCCTCTTGAATCGTGGTATTATAATTTTTTCTCGTATATTCCCGATTATCTCATAATTTTCAGTCTTGCAAAATACGCGCAGTAGGCCTTTTTATTCAAGCAACGTCTGTTGCGTGGTTTGTATATAGACAGTCTCTGTCCTTTTCTTAAACTTTGTCTTAGATTGTTGAGTGCCCACCAGGTCCAGCTTGTTATGTCTTGTTATGTCCTAAAAATTTCACCTAATAGCACTACCATCGTTTTCAATTTTCTTGTTCTTTTTCCGTTTTGGCTGTCGCAGCAAATTTAACTATTTGTCATCAGTGCTCAGAGATGATATTACCGTACTAAAAACCGGGTAGCACAGTGTCCTACTAAGAAAGAGCAGGCAGAAGGTGAGGTATTGCAGTCGCAAGAGCTCTACGTATCAAAAAACGCTTGCCAAGAAATCCCACATACACGCAAGGTGTCAAGGGTTGATAAAACATCTAACTTAACAAAATAAAATAACGGTGTTGGTTAGCTTGGCAGCAGGATTATGTATTGTGATACGTATCGCGCACACTGGGTGCCCCATTAAATGAGACTACGATTTTGTGTGAGTGTAATAATACAGGCACAATTTCATAGCATTTTGGTCGCAGTAACCAAAAACTACTTTTTTACTAAAGTTCTATTTATAAAAAAATATAAATAATTAAATATTTAATCATTACCCTAGCTGCTCACCGTACAGTTGTATGTTTGTTTATTATTTTTGTTACTCTTCTTTAGTAGATTTTTTTTTCTCTCCTTCAATCTCCTTTAGTAGAACGGACGTTTGGGTAGGCCAATGCAACTTGCGCAGTTCCCGTTTGTACATCACGATAGTGTGTTTAGGATTGGAACGGTACGGCACCACTCCGTCAAAATGTACACACGTCGACTGTTTTGTGTATGGATTAAGGCGGCAAATGTCACCGACAAGAGCGTCCACATAGAGACGACTCTGTGAGGCTACATCCCAACGGGGTTCTAAAGGTGGGGTACGGTCTATGCAGATTGGGTAGTTTCCTTTCAAAAACACAATACGCAACGTAATAATCCTGTTAATAATAATAAATTAATTATGGTATCAATCAAATTAGTAGAGCTGGCGTGAAAACCTAGCAGATATGCTCAAATTATGATACAGTTAAAAAGAATGCTATGAAAATGGGACCTATTTGAAAAGAGTCGGTTGAAATTAGTTGGGAATATGAGAATAAAAAGGCAGCAAAGGTAACGATACGAAATAAATAATAATTTTCTATCAAAATGCAGTGCTCTTTTTATATCGTAATTAGCTGTAAAGTATTATACGCACTGCACTATAATGAATGACGTTTATTTTTATATCCTCCTAAATATATCAATCTACGTTTAAAGAATCACTGTTCAATTGAAACAGCGTTTGATATACCTTCGCCGATCACCTAAGTAAGATGGGCATCACTTCAATCTTCGGCATTGACCTTGCTACATTCTACAGCCGTACGGAGCCTCCACACAAATTGTTTTACATGAGTACAGCCTTAATAGAGCGTATACACACACCTTTGTTCCTTTCCACACAACTGTTTGCTACTTACCCACCTCTGAAGATATTTGAAACACAAGATTGTACCAACTAAGTACTAAATTTATATTTAAACGCGTTCTATCCACCACCAGCTGATTACGTTGGCAGAAAACGTGGCGTATTTGAAGGCACACACGGTGAGGCTAAAAAGGAAAGGAATATTTGGTCTCTCCTTTCGTTCGCTCCTTAGCGAGTGGCTCTGCAAATTCTTCTACGTGTATGCAGCCATTAGCGCTTAACTACTCACGATTACGTTGCAACCAATAAGGCCACAGGTCCCCATCGTGTGTTGTGTCTGTGTTAAACTTAACGGACAGGCGGTCCACAGGCCACAGTCGGTAGAAATGTCCTGTTTCGTCCGCTAACACAGCTTGGGCCCTACGTCAATTGACCTTTGATTGGTTATTTAGATCGATGGCGCCTCTCACGTTACTATCTCCGCCGTCTGCTTCTGGAAATATTCAGCCATTCCTTCTATTGGTTCTTGGTCGTCAGTCTTGTCTGTATAATTCTGTCCTAAAGTTGAGAAGCGACAATGGTAGTTGGTGGAAGAAGAGGGGACCTGTGCACATTGAACTGGAAAATACCGATAGACGTCTAGTTCGCTCTGAAGGAAGACAGACTTCGTGTGCTGGTTCTGCCTTGATGTGAGGAAGGTTTCTGTTCGCCACTCCGTGGATCTCTGTAGTCACCAGCACAAATTCGCTACTTCAACGAGAAAATATGGAGAAGCGTGTAAAGCCTAACCGGCTGCTTGAACTCTATGCCAAAAATTACTCCTCTGTAGGACGGCAATAGACGGCATGAAGTTCAATCAACGAAAAGCAAATTTCCTAAATTAAAAAAAAACCTGTTTTGCAAAAAAAAAAACAATCGAAAAACCGATTTGATTCTTGAAAAAAAAATTTGAAAACGCTCGTCGGGATAATAATACCAGAAGCTGCAAATGCGAATAAAAAATTTAAATAAGAACGCCAGAGTTTTTAAATGTTAGTCAGAAAAGGTACAGGAAATAATATAGATTTTTGATATTTTTTTCATTTCTGAGCCAAGTAGAGGATTATCGAGGATCTTATTGAGTTTTGCTGAACGGTTTAATTAAATACCAGTTGTGTGTTTTTTCTCTCACTATACGTCTCCTTCAGTCATACAGAGCGATATAAACGCAAACAATAATGTTTGGTATTAAACTTGGCTTAGAATAGTACAACTGCTTCAAAATTTATGTGCTTTTAGGAATATTGCTAATTGATATGATACGATCTTACCTCTCGCCTTTGTCTTTGTCAAGAATGTGTCATGTTTAGATAAAACGTGTACTCACTTTATTTGCTAGAAAAGTCTGATTAAACACATTGAAAGTTTTTCAAATAAAGGATGGGTGTTAGTCGTATTGTGAAAAAAGCGGCGTAACTCTCCTATCAAACCGCGTACCTGTGTAGTTCGGTGGTTTTTGGAATTACGTCAAACGAGCTGGGTATTCAGGGACCCTTCTTTTTGTATACGACGTACGCGCGTATATTTGAGCTCAGCGTTTCGCTTTTTCTGCGACTTGATTGCGACAATAAATAAGGTATAACTGGCTCTTAGTGGCGTTATCACTTACTGTGGAAGATATTTAAGTGAGTTTCCGGCAGTACCCTAAAAGCTATTTTAAAAGCAGAGAGATAGCACATGTAACGTGTAATATACAAGAAGTTGGTGTTACTATTTCTATTTAGGCAAAAAAATTATAACCGGCCTCTTTTGATATTGTTTACCGGTGTATTTACTTCTATCGTTCCCTAGCAATTACTTCCACTGTGTTGTACCGTCGCCGTGTTCAGGCACAAAATCGAAACTGAATTACGTCTTCAGGCTAGAGAAATTGTGTAGTGCAGACAGATGCTGCGCTCGCACCATCGACAGACTCGGGCGTATACTCTCTTGTAAATGTCAGATAGAGCGCTGATCGAATTGACTGTGTTTCTGGAGACGCACTCCCGGTGATGTGACTATCGAACCGTAGTTAACACCACACTCCGCTTGTTGTTTACGCGCACTATTCAGCGTACAGCCGATAAGCTAATCAAAAAGTGTCTTCACTTTCGTAAATGAACTTCGATGTCTTCATGTCGCTCGTTCTCTTTTTTGTTTTAAAATGGGATCTACCCGTGTACGAATACAGGCTGTAACTCAGCTTCTTTTCTGGTTGCTCACAATGGCCTCGACCGAATTCAGTATTCTGGTGCGTCCAATGCGTAGTCCAGCACAAGCGAGCCCTCAGTCGAGACTTGACTATTTGCTTTTTTGAGGTGGTTGCAAAGTTCTACCACTACGCGATTGTCGTACAGAATCAATGGCATTACTCTGTTTTCCAATAGAACTATGCTATAGCCGATGAAAAAGCCTTGTTTGTCGCCGGCACGAAAAGTTCACGAGCCAAACTTTGTGTCAGGGACATTAAGGCAGGTGAACTCCGTAGGAGCGACCCGACTGACGAGGTCGGTGCATAGCATGAATGATTGAAGGTTCGTTAACTCGACCGTTTTCGAAAGGCCCAAAGGGCTTACCATTTGGAGCGTGTTACAACGAAATAAGATCGTATTCGCTTCTCCACGAGCTAGAAAGCGTAGATGTAAGCAATAGTGTTGACGAGCCCTGAAAGGCTCAGCAGTTCACATTGAGCAAGCCACCATGCGGCTTTCAGGCCACGGAGAGGATGGCAAGCGAAAAGGAGTGCGATATGTGGCCAGAATATTAAAATGCCAAAGCACTAACTGCGAGGTCTGAAGCTTCTTTGTTAGCTCCGTTCTGCTGCTAGAAGGTATTCGAGCCCAACAGTAGCCGTGAGTAGCTTCTCCGAGTACGGCTTTCGTTCACAAAAGGAAGCGCACCTGAGCCGGGATAGGCCAAAGACATGGGTCAGGTTTTTTTTTTGTTGAAAATCGCTTTATGTAGAAACAAACAGGTATATACGTTATGGTGGTTCAAATTATGTCACGTTATGGGCTCATAGTACTCGCTGTAAGCCATGGGTTAGGGTCAATCTATTAAGTGCTGCGAACGTGCCATCTTTTTCGGAACGCTTACTTTGAGTTTGTTCCAGTCTACAAAAGCTGCCTTCATTTTCACATTCCTTCATTTTCCATATATATATATATTGCTTTACCGTTACTCTACCTCAAGCACTTAAAGGTGCCACACTGGACACACGGACGTAAGGCCGACTGTAAACACTCTTTTTCAACATTACACAGTGTTACAGGTGACTTGCACAACTTTTGTTGGTTAGCTTTCAGAGGGCCTGAGGGTTAGGTCAACACAAACATGTCTCCACATAAATATTAATTACCTAATTTAAGGTAACGTTGGCAAATGACCTGAGAACACTTGCTAGTTGGGATGGGATCTTTCAAACAATGTAAAGAAGACTGCTTTTAAGTGAATATCTCCTGGAACATTAGCCCCGAGTAAGTCCTTTTTTTGCTTATAGCTGAGTCGCATTATGTTAATAACCCTATTAAATACAGCAGAACTACATTATATCACCTTTCTTCAATTAGAGTGAATAGAGTCGCTATGTGAAGTGCCTTACGGCTCTTATATTTAATATGACTCCTTTAACGTATAAAGCGTGGAGGACACACTAAACAATCCCAGCCCTATATCTGGGCCTCATCCTTTGTTATGGAGAAACTTGACTTGAAACAAGCGACAAAAATCCCAACTACGTCCACGTATTTATTCCAGCCTCTCTCAAGCCTCGTACATTGATTGTAGCTGGCAACTTTCGGGTCCAAAGCCGACGCCCAGTACAGCGAAGAATTTTTTCGCTTACCTGGTTTTACGCGCAGTCTTCATACGCAGAATATAATGTTAGCGCTCAAGTAAAATTAGCAGTAAAAAAACCTTTAAGAAATAGTTTTCGATGGTTTAGTGGCCGAACCTTATGACACCTTTCGCAATGGACGCATCAAACTGCTATCTTGACACGCCTGCAACTCGCATTTTAATCTAGTTGGCTTAATTGAGACGAAGCTAATCTGCACCTGTTTTCCGAGCAGATTTCTCATATATATGCAAGGGTGTATGAGCATTTCTAATCTATTCTGTTGGTCGTTGCTATTTTCATTTGTTTCTTCGCGAGGTAAAAGCGCGCATCCGCCTGGGATAGCCCACGTATCGGACGAATAGCTTAGGTCTTCCAGGAACTGGTAATATTCGTTTAGACGATCGTTTCCGGGATCGTCGCGTTATTGGATAGATCGAATAGATAGATTCGTTTTATTAGCTAGCAGAATTTACCTAATGCACCTCGTTCCTCGTTCGCTTTGTTGACTTCTGCAAAAGCTTTTACACGTTACTTGGCTACGTGGGATGTTTTGTAGTAATTACAGGAGGTAGAATTCTGCATATTGGCTAACTACCTTTCCTTGGACGAGCCAAATGTAAAGGACAATGTACTTGGACTAATATGGAGTTGTATAGCATGTATTTGGGTGTCCATTAATGAAATCGGAACTGAACTAGGTAATTTATTTCCTCATGTATATCTATAATAAATACACACTATTTAAGTTAATAGGCTTCCTATTGCCTTACGGCTAAACGTCTGTGTTGAGATAATGAAACAGATTCGTCGGTCTTACGTTCATCATCAGTGTCCATACCGTCAAGCACAGATTTTGGTGGTTAACGCGTTGTATATAATGGGTTTGTTTGAGCTCGGAGCTATATGGGGCACTCCGTTCTTTAATCTAACAAATAGAAATCACGAACTGCAACCAAAAATACTATTACTAAATTTGCCGCTTTTTTGAGGTGCATACTGGTCATACGTTCGGTGCAATTCAGGTCAACGGTTTCCTTCTAACAAGTCGCAAAGCGCACAGCTGCGTGTGTCAGCAAACATCTTCCTATACTATTAAATATCTATTCAACTATAAAAAAGAGTGGAATATCCATTTAATTTATCTACCACAGTTTTACTTATCTCTTATGTAAGCAGACTGAAAGCAAATACAATAATATGTATCGATTTCTAATTTGATTAAACTATCTTATTGTAGAGTACTATTTGGCCTAGTTCGTATATGTTATTGGTGACCAAGCTTCTGGTTGAAGGAGACAAAAAAAAGGCTTGCTGCTTTGGGTTTCACCAATAACACCTACTACACAGCCTACGTAAATTTAAAAAGACTATATAACATAGAAGTTCACAACATTCACAATTAACCACGTATAACTCTTAGTACCGGAATGAGGAATAATCACAGTAGTTACTATGGCTTGAGGGGAGTCACGTTGGATGAGGGAACGATACTTACGTCTTTACTGTTCCCTCCTCACTTGCACCAGTACTTCAGTATATAAAATTCAACAAAAGTCTGCGGGAACTTATAACAGACAAGTTATGAACTTTAACTTAGCCAGTTTGCTATCGGATGTGTGGAAGCTTCGTCCTCTATGGCTAAAGTCACACCTTTTTAAAGTCACATATAATATAAATTATGCATAATAAAGTTTTCAATGGCCGCTTTTTTCTCAAAAAAAAAAAAAGATTATTTCGCTACATATACAAATTAAAAGTATGACAAAATCATTAATGAATCGTATAAGCCTACATTTTAAAGCAATATGTGCTAAATACATGTTTGTATTTAAGCGTTTTTTTTTCAAAAACTGGCGAAAATCGTAATTAGTCCTCTGCTTACCTCTACGCTTAATTAACAGACCGACACGACTTTTTTCCCGTGCCCATGGTTATTCTTAACGGTTAGGATAGGCGTTTTAGCCCATATAGCTCTTTTATTTTTTATATATCATAAACGTGAGCGATTTAGTATACCGCAAACAACCAACTCCCATTTTGAGTTAGTCTATGCAAAAAGTGGTTTAATTTTAAAATCACTGTAACAATAACTGTGTATAAAACGAGAAACTTTTCAAGTGTTTTAAGTGAACGGCAGCAAATATTTTAGCGCGCCCCATTTGAGCAGACAGTATATCAAAAAGCTTTTCAATCTGAGAAACCCGAAATAGCGCTAACCCAAGTTAAATACAAAATATAATTTATATCTCGTCCTAAAAGACCACAATTGGTTAATCTAACTGGCCCCACACGACATCTCTCTGCCCCTACGGGATTAACAGGTCTTGTGTGGCAGCGGCTTTTCACACTGGTTCCAAGAAATTATTGCAAGCAACAAGTTATTTTTGATGCCCGTAGAACAATGCCGCACTGGAGGGTTCATCGCGGCTCAGCCATGTCCTATGGATGTTATTGATGCAAGAGTGTGTGGCATGTAAATGCTCTGGCCTGGTGCCTAGATGGAGGCATTAAGACACCTTTCGTTCATCAACAGCCAAAAAAATTAGTTTTTATTATTAGACATTTTTTTTATGGTACGACCACTAACTGGCTTATCGTTTTTCACTCTCTGTATCTCTGAGTTGCATCCTCTATCTGAATACGTTTTGCCCTCCTCAACCTCGTATAGGTATCTATCTATAAGACAGCTAAAGCTAGCTCTCTCGTGTTCCCTCTTGCTGGTAGGCCATAAATATGACTCAGCTGTCGACCAGATCCTGCTGTTGTACAAAAGAAATGAAGTTCTCAGTAATATATCTTATTACGAGCTGAAGTGGTTCATTAGTTTGATTGTCCTCATTATCGTTTAAAAATACATATTCTTTAAAGAGTACGGTATATTATTGCATTTTACTATTCCTAGTCTCCATATACACTCTTCATTATTCCAAGGAAGTTCGTCACCGTAGAAAAGAGAAGTTATATTCCATTATGCGCCTTCAACTCAAATTTGCCCTGATTATGCAAAAAATTAGTCACAGAAATTATGGTTTTCTAATGTTCTAATTCTACATATAGGAACATTCCTGCGGACGTGTATCTTCAAAAGTATTTATTCCATCACGCACGTTGGGCGCGACAATATCTTCGCAAGCATCGAAAAACATAGAAAACTACGCTACGCTATTATTTCTGGCAGAGAAAACAACGCTTTGCGTTGGATTTAGGCATGGCTGGGTTTAAGATGATGCTGACGCATTCACGATTGGCCGTAAAGGCTCCATGGACGACCCTAACAACTCGCTATGCGTCCACAACTGTTATAACTCAAATAATGGGGTATATATAAAGTTGCACTGGATGAGAGTTCGGTCATGTCTCGTAAGAAGCACCGCAATCTATTGCAGAAAGTACCCGATAAGCTTCGCTGTATGAAAAGAAATGACGCTATCATACAACCAAGCGGCGTGCGGTGTCTAGCGACGAGACGTGAAAGTCTTTCAAAACTTGAGCAAGGATCTTTTAGTTGCGTTACGCTTTTTTTCATGTTTAATAGGAAACTAAATGGTAGAGAAAAGCTAACCAGTTATCCTCGATTTTGTATAATACTTACTTGAATAGCATCGATGCTCGATAGTTTCAGAAGCAGAAGGAAGGCCGGCTTTGTCATCGTTCGAGTGTTGACGAAATTCTCCGATACCACCATTTAGATGTTACGGCTTTCGCTCCGAGCTGTGATAATAGAATGACAGCGACAAGGCC